ACTCAAGGCAGGGTCGATGGCGGTGGATGCGGCGCCACCCCCTGTCACGCACAGAGCAGGGCCGATCAGGGGGTTGGGGCGCTGCCCCCTGTAACTCACAGAGCAGGGCCCATCAGGGGGTTGAGGAGCTCCCCCCTGTCACTCACAGAGTAGGGCCAATAGGGGAGCTGGGGCACTGCCCCCTGTCACACACAGAGCAGGGCGGATCAAGGGGTTGGGGCGCTGCACCCTGTCACACTGAGGGCAGGGCCAATGGGGAGATTATGGCTCTACCCTGTCACACACAGAGCAAGGCCCGTGGAGGGGGGTTGGGGTGCCACCCTCTATCACCCACAGAGCAGGGCCGATCAGGGGGTTGGGGCACTGCCACTGTCACACTCAGGGCAGGGCCCATGGAGAGGTTATGGTTCTACCCTGTCACACACAGAGCAGGGCCCGTGGGGCGGGGGGTTGGGGCGCCTCACCCTGTCACACACAGAGCAGGGCCGATCAGGGGGTTGGGGAGCTCCCCCCCTATCAGGCACAGAGCAGGGCTGATGAGGGGGTTGGGGCGCCTTCCCCTGTCATGCTGATCCCGGTGCCGGGAGCCTCGCTGCTCCGCTGATCCCGGTGCCGGGAGGCATATTACCCTTTTACTATATAGAATAGAGGCCTGGTGCACGGGTAGGGGCCGGCTGGTTTGCCCTGAAGGGTGTCCTGGATCAGGGTGGGGGTCCCCACTGGGGTGCCTGGCCAGTCTGGCTGAGGGGCTGAGGGCTGTTTTCCCGCTGGCAGTTGACTAAAAGCTCCCAACCGCTCCTTGTTTTCTTTTTTTTTTTTTTTTTATTCTGGGCCAGCTTTAGCTCTGAGGCCTCGCTGCTGAAAACATGGATACAATGTTGCGGTCCGGGGCTGACTGAAAGCCAGTTTTGTTTAACTTCTTATTTGCAACATAGTAATAGTTGCTTAGAGTTGCAGTTGAGAGGCCGGCAAGTGAGGCGGGGAACGTTGGAGTCTGCAGTTCCTGGAGGAAGCAAGCCTCCCTGCTGGCTTCAGTGCATGGCTGCTGGCCGCCATCTTGGCTGACAGTTAATTTGCATAAGGATATGCTGATTAGCCAATGGGAAGGGTAGCGGTCGTACGCCAATTACCATGTTTCTCTTTTATTAGTTTAGATAAATTACATTTACATATATGTTATATAAATTATATATATACTAGAGGACCGGTGCATGGATTCGTGCACCAGTGGGGTCCCTTGGCCTGGCCTGCGCCCTTCGCAATCCGGGACCCTTCGGGGGAAGTCAGAGAGCCGGTTTCAGCCCAATCCTCCTGGTGGTCAGTGCGCATCATAGCTACTGGCCAGTCGGCCGGTCAGCCGGTTGCTTAGGCTTTTATTTATAGATATATAATATACACATAGTATTCCAGGAGGTAAAAGGAATCTGGCCATGGGTTTGCTTGCCAGAAGCATACGCTTGAGAATGGCTAATACGACCATATTTCCTTGAATGACAATATTATATAATGGTTAAGAACATTGACTGCAACCAAGACTTCCTGGGTTTGAATTCTTGCTCTGCTGCTTTCTAGCTATTACGTCCTTGGGCAAGTTATTTAACTTCTCTATGCCTCATTTCCCTCATCAGTGAAATCCTCCAGGTTGAGCGTCAACTATGAACCAGGAGGTCACCGTTCAATCCCAGTCAGGGCACATGCTCAGGTTGCAGGCCCGATCTCCAGCGGGGGGTGTGCAGGGGGCAACCGATCAATGATTCTCTCTCATCATTGATGTTTCTGTCTCTGTCTCCCCCTCCCTTCCTCTCTGAAATCAATTAAAAAAAATATGTACATATTTTTTTAAAGTATCTGCCTCATAAGGTTGTGAAATGGGTGACACACAGTAAGTGTTCAGTAAATGTTAACACATTACTGTGGTGACTATTATTATTCTAGGGCAGCTGGCCAATTGTGGAATAATCTACTTGCACTTCATCAGGCAGTGATAATGGTCTGCTGACCTTGGAAATGCTGCCTTCAATGTTTAAGTTACTTTCCTTTGAACTACTCAAAATGTGGACTAGAAAGGTGGGGGAGGAGGGCAGGCATGCAAATGGACTTACAGTCTAAGTTTATTAATTTTTAAATGCTTTTAAATGGTGATAGGTAGAGACTTAGGAGGGTAGACTCTTAACGTAGGTACAGGTTACAGACCCTCTATTCAAGCAGAGCACCACTTGGAATTGTTCCCTTGGCTGCACTATCTACTTCTCTTTTGTAGTGAACGTGGTGGAGGCGCTTCAGGAATTCTGGCAGATGAAGCAGTCCCGTGGGGCTGACCTGAAGAATGGCGCTCTTGTGGTTTATGAGATGGTTCCCTCCAACACCCCTCCCTATGTCTGCTACGTCACCCTGCCTGGGGGAAGTTGCTTTGGGAGTTTCCAGGTAAGAGTTGCAAAGCAGCAGTAGCAAAGGTAATTGCAGTAGCAAAGGTAATTGCAGTAGCAAAGGTAATTGCTTTGACTTTGGATGGTGGGCATACAATGCACAATATACAGATCACGTATCATAGAAATGTGCACTTGAAACCTATATGACCCTATTAACCCTAATCAATGTATTAGTCTACTCTCCTTAGCTCCCTACCTATCACCATTTAAAAGCATTTAAACATTTACTAACCCTAATAAATTTAATGAAAGAAAGAAGATAATTGCTTAGGTGCTAGTAATGGCTTTCTCTATCACTTTGGCCATTAAATCTCTGTTTGAAATCACATATTTGAAGACCTGAACCAATTCTGAGCAAATCATTCTGGTAAGCATCTCAGGCTCATTTGACCACAAAAGAACCTCATAGCAAGCTTTTCTTTTTAGCCTGCAAAAATGCAAACCCACTCTGAATTTGAACAGTGATTAATAATGCCCTGATTCAGTATATCAGACTACCAGCACCTAACCCATGTTCTAATCTGGCTTTTCAAGTTCCGGCCATCTCTTTTTGAGAACATAGAATAATACTCCTTGCCCCAAGTTTGTTTTCATAGGCATTTACTAAGGAAAGCAATGTTTGGGTGGAAATGTTACTCAGCCAAGAGTTAGGATATTCACATTCTTATTCCCTTGACTGCCAGCAGGCAAGTCAGGTAACTTCTCTGGGCCTCAGTTTTCCCATCTATCATACGAAGGAGAGAGGTTAGATTATTTCTAAAGTCTTTCTAGTACCGGTACTAGCATTCTACAGTTATATGAAAGACCTGTAATATATGATGATGAAGAGTGGTTGCTATTATAGGGTGATGAGAAATTTGAATAGCGTAAATATTATCATCAAAGATGGATTCTTTTTTAAATATATTTTTACTGATTTCAGAGAGAAAGGAAGAGGGAGAGAGAGATAGAAACATCAATGATGAGAGAGAATCATTGATCGGTTGCCTCCTGCAAGTCCCCCAGTGGGGATCAAGCCCGCAACCCGGGCATGCGCCCTTGACCGGAATCGAACCCGGGACCTTTCAGTTTGCAGGCCGACGCTGTATCCACTGAGCCAAACCAGCTAGGGCAAATGGATTCTTTACATTACAGATAGGAAGGAAGCCCTCTGAAATGTTAACTTAGAGTCTGAATAGGAATTTAGAAAAGAGAATAGACATGTTTGTTCTGTTTTCCAGATGGTTTGTATAGCCCTTAGACAAAGTTATAAGCCCTGCTGTGTGCTTCCAAACACCTTGAACTTCTCCTAACATGTCATAATTGTTTATCTCTCCTGGGGGATGACACTCCATGGAGGCAGAGATAGCGTCTGTCTTCTTCCTTGTTCAGTTTTTTAAATTAATTAATTGGATTTTATTGAATGGTTTTTGTGGTTTTGTTTTGTTTTGTTGTTTTTTAGAGAGAGCGAGGAAGGGAGGGAGGGTGAGAAAGACACAAAGACAGAGATAGTGATGTGAGAGGGAAACATCAATCGGCTGCCCCATGCACGCACCCTGACTGGGTATCGAACCTGCAACCTGGGTATGTGCCCCTACCAGGAACTGAACCCGCCACCTTTTGTGTTTTTGTTGTTGTTAATCCTTACCCGAGGATATTTTTTCATTGATTTTTAGAGAGAGTGGAAAGGAGGGGGAGAGACAGAGAGAGAGAAAGATGGATGTGAGAGAGACACATTGTTTGGTTGCCTCCCACTCGGGCCAGATCAAGCCTGCAACCGAGGTACATGCTCTTGACCGGAATTGAACCCAGGACCCTTCTGCCCGCGGGCTGATGCTCTATCCACTGAGCCAAACCAGCTAGGGCCAACCCGCCACCTTTTGGTGTATGGGATGGTGCTCCAACCAACTGAGCCACACTGGCCAGGCCCCTTGTTCAGTTTTAAATCCCTACCATGAAACTCAGCACTTAAGTAGGCACATAAGCCCTAATCGGTTTGGCTCAGTATAGAGTATAGAGCGTTGGCCTGCGGACTGAAGGGTCCCAGGCTCTATTCTGGCCAAGGGCACATGCCCAGGTTGTGGGCTCGATCCCCAGTAGGGGGCGTGCAGGAGGCAGCCAATCCATGATTCTCTCTCATCATTGATGTTTCTGTCTCTCCCTCTCCCTTCCTCTCTGAAATCAATAAGGAAATATATTTTAAATAATAATAATAATAGGCACTTAATAAATCTGTTGCATGAATGAGTGCCATTACAGCTCAGTTCCTGCCCCAAATAGAAACGGCCCCCAGGGAGCTTCATTTAAAATCAGATGGCTAAATTTCCCCCTTAGAGCCTCAGCCATTTCAGAGAAATAAGTAAGTGCCCAGAATGACTAATGTCTATGCTTTCTCTTCTACAGAGTAAGATCTTCCCTTCCCTTCTCAGACCTCATTATATTGCTGAATAAGGACTTGATTATTTTATGGTGATGCCCAAAGCTGAACCATGGTAGTAATTTGATTTCTCTTATTTCCTGAAAGAGTAGGATTATCTGTTGTGGCCCCTTTTGGATGATCTGTTTTATATTCACTTTGGCAGCTGAAATTTCTTCCATTGGTTCTTTTCATTGATGACCTCTCAGAAACAGCATTAGACAGTAGAGTGGACAGCAGGCTAGTAAATAGAAAAGTAGAAACAGAGAAATTGAAGAAGCAAGATTTAGGGTTAATGTACCAAGCTCCATATACCGTCTGAGAGAGACCTGTCAGCTAAAGGAAATTGGGAATTATTGATAATTAAGGATGGTTAAGTAGCAAACATATCCTGGGCTACTTTTAAAAATTGTAACATCACTTACCTCCTTCCCTCTAATCCTAATCATAAATGACAAAGGGGCTCAGCTGGGTGTGGCTCAGCAGTTGAGCGTTGACCCAAGAACTGAGGTCACGGGTTTGATTCCTGGTCAGGGCACATGCCCAATCAATGATTCACTCTCATCATTTATGTTTCTATCTCCCTCTCCCTTCCTCTCTCAAATCAATAAAAATATATATTTTTAAAAATGACGAAGGGCACAGAGGCCTTTGAAGCAGCCAGTGAAGATGAATTATAAAGGAATACTCTGGTGCCTAGGGGTCTGAAGTTGAATGGTGAAATCAGACTGTCCCACGATACCTATGTTGGAGACAATGTAAAAATATGAATTTTTAATTTTTCTTGCTTTCATTAGGTCAGCCTTCCTTTCCCTAGACACCCCTCTTCTCCTTGTGTCCACGGGGGATAAAGAAGACTATAGATTCCTTCTTCAGACCTTGGGCTCTGCTCAGGGATAGCTCCTTGATTCATTACATTATTGGGAGAACTGCTCAAGCTAAAAGGGAAGGCCAAGAGTCCCAGATGAGACTAGCGTCCCCACTGCAGAAGCAGCCTAGACTCCGTTTGTTCTAATCTTGGGTTATCCAGAGGGATGAAAAAAGTCTTGCCCGTCCACAGAAAAAGAGAACAAGACACAGATTTCTAACAGGCTGGCCAGAATCTGGCTTTTGAGCAATTAATTCTGTTGACAGTTTAAACAGGGCTATTTTTCATATCCAGTGATTATATGCTAACTTCAGCAGCCTTCCTCATTCTGCTTTCAATTTGGTATGAGCTATATAGCCATCTCCAGTTCTTTAATAACTTCAGGATGTTGAATCAAAATTATGTTTCCAAATGCCCCCACCATTTACAATAAAAACGTTGGAGGGAGTGTTGAACAAGTGATTTATCCAGAGTGTCCAAGTGTCTTCTACCCCAAGTGTTTCCCTCCCATTGCGCACACATACACACATGCTCTCTCTCCCCTGCCTAGTTTTGCCCCACTAAAGCGGAGGCCCGGCGGAGCGCTGCGAAGATTGCACTAATGAACTCCGTGTTTAACGAACATCCTTCCCGAAGAATCACTGATGAGTTCATTGAGAAGAGTGTCTCTGAGGCCCTGGCATCTTTCAATGTAAGTTTCTTGGAGTTGGAAGGAAGGAGATGGGAGATGGGGGAACTGGCTGGTTGGGAAGTCTTACCTATCACTTGGAAACAGGGCATGGATTCTTGTTTTATTTCCTGTCTACATCTCTGTTCTGTTTTTTCTCTGTCAGTCTTTTATATGACACGCTCCATATGTCTCAGTCTCTATATGTGTGTTTGTCTTTGTTGCATTTCGTTTAATATTTGAAACATTTGTGTCTCTCTGATATCTAGAAACCTTTACTTCAAGATTTATGCAGTTTTTAGAGATTTTACAAAACAAAAGTTGAGCTAGAATTTTGTATTTCCCAGTTTGGGTTTTAGACCTTAGCTCCTTCTTCCTTCACTGTTCTTTCTTTTTATATGACTGTTTTTATTGTCACTTGTCTCCTGCCTCCATTATTTCATTCTATTAATAAAGAATATAAAGAATACTTTATAATACAGTGTCTTGGCTTTTTTCCTTTCTAGGAATGGGGAGGATAAGTTATTTATTCTCTTTAAAAAGAACATTTGTTCTTTCAAATGACGATGGTGTTGTTGATGATGATGATGATGATGATGATGATGACTAACCATAGCTAGTCCTAATTATTTACTTTGTGCCAGCAATTGTTCTAGGAATTTATATGTATTACATCTCATTTGATCTTAAGAACAATCCTGTGATGTGTAAGTATTATTATTGCCCCTGTTTTACAGATGAAGAAACTAAAAACACAGGAGTGAAGTTTTGCCTAAAGTGATAGTGCTAGTAAGTGGTAGAGCCAAGGCTGAACCCAAGCCAACTTATAGACTTTTCTAGTTTAAGGTGCATCTTAGAAGTTAGCACTACCTTCTCCCTCCCTCCAAGTTCATTGACAGGCTGATAAAGTCAGGTCAATTTTCTGTTTTTTTCCTCTTTGCATTTAAGGTGTAATTACATATACTAAAATGCTTCAGTTATCTGTTTTGTGAAGTAGTGTTGAGCACTTCATTTATTAAATTTTTAAAAATATTTTTTCATTAATTTCAGAGAGGAAGAGAGAGAGAGAAACATCAGTGATGAGAGGAAATCATTGCTCGGCTGCCTCCTGCACGCCCCCTACTGGGGATCGAGCCCACAACCCACGCATGTGCCCTTGACCAGAATCAAACCC